TTAGGCCGGGGGCCCCGGGGGGGGGGGGGCTCTGCAACTTACCTGGCTGCTTCTTGCTCTGACTGAGGGCTGCTGGGAGCAGGGGGGGGCTTGTTGCATGTGCCCGCCCCCTGGGCTCTTTACTGCCGGAGCTCTGCTCCTGTGCGCTCGTGCAGGAAATGACCCCTGCTTGTCATCATTTTACAGGCCCAGCCAGGATCAATTTCCTCTGGCTGTTGCCAAAACAGGAGGATGTAAAAGGGCAGACAATGTCGTGTGGTCAATGTCTTACATTATTTCCGCACGCCGTATGAGATGCAGTTTTATTTTGAAAGCAGAAAAGGTAACATGGGGTCCCTTCTGTGCATGATCAAAGGTACTCTGTCCTTACATAAATTGCTTTTTAAAATTCTTCCCATTATAAAGGAAAGGCATTCAAGAACTTTGCCGTGCAATTAAAGAAGCGTGGTCCCATCTTGAAAAGGCACTGTGTGGATGCTCGGAGACACAGATCGGAAGTGTCAGACATGCTGGAAGCAAAAGGGGTCAATCGTAGCTTTTGTGTCCCTTACCCCTACTAAACTTGCAATACAATCCTAAACAGAAGTTACACCCTTCTAAGTCCATTGAGTTCAAAAGGGCTAGAAAAGTACGTCTTTGCTTGGGACTGCACTGTAAGATTCTTACTAGCGATGCAATGAGTTTTTTTCAGGAGGATTTTTGTTTGTTTTTTCACGTGTGTGAGAAGGGCAATGATTTTGGTTCCAAAACAAACAAACAAACAAACAAAAAACCACCCAGGGATTTTGCATTTCATTCCATCTTTTTTATATATTTATAAAAAGAAAGGAAAAAGAAAGAAACAAGAAAATCCCCCAAAAAGGGGGGAAATGGAAACAAATTTGACACAAAAAAGGGGGTGGTGAGGCAGGATCAATCGGAATCCCTACCCCAAACCTCCGTCTCCACCCCCTGATCCAGCACCGCCCGCCCCGCCCACCCCAAGCTGCCCCCCCGTCAGAAACAAGTTCAAAAGCGTACATTTTGCAGGGAACACGTCGCCATCCGTCTGCCTTGTGCCCCCCCCCAACCCGCCCTCCCCTTGCTGAAGTCACAATTTATTTATTCAGTTCCCTTTACAAAAGAAAAACAAAAAAAAAAGGAAAAAGAAATCTTCATTTCTTTCACGTCTCTTTCCAGGAGAAGAATTCTGGAAAACGATCTGTGTTCATCTCCCATATTTTTCAAATATGGATTTCCACGGGGTGGCCGTAACGTTGGCCGGCGATTAAGGCCATTCTCTGGTGGCGGGGCCGGAGGGTCAGGCAGTCTTCTCTTCTCAGGCAAAAGTCAGTGTTGGGGTCCTTCCAAGGGGAAAAAGACCCAACCCCCCGCAGGGCCCTCCTGCTCCCCCATCTCCCCACCCCACAAAACCCAGCTCGGATTCCTCCACCTCCTTGCCTCTCGGCTCTGCTCCCGTATCTCTGACCCGTGCCCTGTCTCCTCTTTGCTTTTCTCCCCACAGCGCCCCTTCCTGCCAGCCACCTCCTGCATGCCCTCTCCCTCCTTACCTCATGCCCATCTCACCAACACCGACAGTCAGCTGATGAGACAGAGCCTTATACAGGCCCACCTCCCACCCTTCCTCCTCAGCACGGATTGGAGGACACGCCTGGGAAGTCGATCAGACCGGATCTGGAAGTCCTCGCCATGCGGCAATGGGGTGGACAGGCATCCCAGCGAAGAACAGACCGAACCGCATCAGACCCTCTCACTCATCTTTGGAGATGGAAACAGAGCCAGGAGTTCTGACACCCCCACCCCCCATATACACTTTCCCTCTCCCCTGCTGAAATTCACTCAACTCAGGTCAGGACCCGTTTTGCCCACTCACTCTACCCTCCCAGAGGCAGAAGAATCACCAACTCACACGGCCTCACCCACCTACCCCATTTCTAGGCATGGCTCCCTGCTAAGAGCTGGGCTTTTCGGACTCTCAATCCCGGTCTTAACCCCTGGGACCGTCTGCTCTCTTCCCCGTCAGAGCCCTGACAACCGTAGAGGGCGATCCACCGAATCGTATTCATCCACTGGGGTAAATCCAGAGAGGCGACACAGCGATGCTGTGCAAGGGATCCGCTTCCCCATCACGGGTCTCTAAGGGCCTCCCCCCAAAGGGGAGTGCAAACAAGCTTTGCGCCCAGGATAGCTAGGTTAAAGTCCAGTCCCATCACAGAGACCAACAAGATTTTCAGGGTATGAGCTTCCGAGACTCAATGCTCCCTTCGTCAGATACGAATGTTCGGTGAGAGCTTTGACTCACGAAAGTTCATACCCCGAAAAATCTCCAAGGTCTCTATAGCCCTCTTTTCTTCCATTCTGCCCACTTCGGCCTCCTCCTCAACCCACCCACGAGATAGAAGAAGAGGCCAGAGTAGGTTTGGGGTTAAATTATGGATGCCATCCGGAGATTATTAACTGTTGACAGTTGATTTTAAATCTGTGATTTTATATTGTTTCAATCTGTTGTAAATCGTCCAGCGCCTCGTGTACTCAGGGAATGGGCGATCCAGAAATTTAATGAATGAATGAATAAATGAAATATAAGGTGCTATTGGACTTGAATCTAGCTGTTCGGCCGCACGGATACCCTCTGAAACTGTGCCAAGGAAGGGGCTGTGGGATTTGGAGATGTGTTAAGGGAGGGAGGGCTACGGAGGGGGGGGGGTGTTGCTGAAGTCCTGCCACGGCATCTCTGCTTTCTGCTTTAGCGGGGGATGCGCCACACCACCCTTGCTTCTGTTCTCCTCCCACCTTTTGCGCCTCCCCACCCAGCTTGGATGCTTTCCACTCTCTGCATTGTACATGGACGGATGTCGCCGCCTGCCGCCTCCCCTCTCCAGGGAAAACACGGCGCGCGAGGGTTTCTCGGTGGGTTTATCCTCCCCCATACCCCGCCCCGCATCTTCTTGCCTGCATTGTTCCAGGATGACATGGTCTGTGGGGCCTTGGATTGGCTGCTGCTATAGCAACCGAGGAGGGCTTTCCCAGGCTCCCTGGTTACGGCTTTCTGATTGACAACAGCCAAGTCACTGCCGGCTCCAACATGTTTCCTTCAAACAGCTGAGCCTGTTGCCTTTGTCCCTTCATCCTTCCAGCCACTGTAGTCGGGCTGCCAGCGCCAGGTTAGGGCATGCCTGGAGATTTGGGGGTGGAGCCGGAGGAGGGCAGGGTTCGGGAGGGGAGGGAGCTCGGTGGGGTAATAATAATAATGACGATCGTATGGAATTGTGTGTAGAGTAGCCCGGAGACCCTAGGGTTGTCTGGCAGCCACCAAGTTCTAGCTCTTAGCGTTGTACTAGTGGTGAGCCACTTATTTTTACGGGCTGAGAGAGCTCTGAGAGAACTGTGACTGGCCCAAGGTCACCCAGCTGGCTTCATGTGAAGGAGTAGGGAACTGAACCTGTTTCTCCAGATTAGAGTCCCCTGCTCTTAACCACTGCACCAAATTGGCCTCCCTCAGTGAGGTATAAAGCCACAGAGTCCACCCTGCAAACCGCTATTTTCTCCAAGGAAAGGGATCTCTGTAGTCTGGGGATTCGTTGTAATTCCAGGAGATCTCCAGGCCCCACCTGGAGGTTGGCAACCCTACTCTGTAGCCCGGACCCTCTCAGGGGCGAGTGCTGATTAGCACAGGAAATCAACGTTGTATAGAAGCAGATTCTAATGTCAGAGTCCTGCATACATCACTACTCTTCGGGTATAAATAGGGTCAACTGCTATGGGTTAGGAAATTCCTAAAGATCTGGGGATGGAAGCTCGAGGAGGGTGGGGGAAAGGACCTCATTGGGGTATAATGTCCTAGAGGCCACTCCAAAGCAGCCATTCTCTCTCGTGTGGAAATCAGTCATAGTTCTGGGAGATCTCCAGGCCCCACCTGGAGGCTGGCATCTCTAGGTGTAAAGCTGGATCAACCCCGCCAAGGCTGAGACTAGTGTTCTATTCCGAGGGAACCGAGGCTAATAATCTGACTCTCGCAGCCTTTCCAGGATTAGCCTTAGACAGGGGGTTTTTTGTAGAAAAAGCCCAGCAGGAACTCATTAGCATATTAGGCCACACCCCTGACAGCACAGCTCACTGGCATATTAGACCACTCCCCCATGTTACCAGAAGTGTGCTCATCCAGCCACACCCACCTTTTGCTTCTTTTTCTGTTTACCTTGTTCGTTGTCAAAACCCAGGGCCTTTTTTTGTAGCAGGGACTCCTTTGCATGTTAGGCCACACACCCCTAATGTAGCCAATCCTAATGAGTTCCTGCTGTTGGGTGTGGCCCATTATGCTAATGAGTTCCTGCTGGGCGTGGCCAACTCGGGAGCCAGCCGGAACTCCGTTCCTGTACGTTCCTGCCCAGAAATAGCCCTGCCTTTAGAGCTGCCAGACTAAACAACTAGGGGGGAAAAATGGACATTATGAAGGTGTGGGATAGGGTTGCCAACTCCAGGTTGGGAAATTCCTGAAGATTTGGAGGTGGAGCCTGAGGAAGGGCGGATTTTGGGGAGAGGATGGAGCTCGGCAGGGATGGAACGCCATAAGAGCCCACCCTCCAAAGCTGCCATTTTCTCCCAAGGAACTGATCTCTGTAATCTGGAGATAAGTTGCACATCCGGGAGATCTCCAGCCCCCACCTGGAAGATGGCAACCCTAGCACGGGGTAGCAAGTCTGTGGGCTTTGGGTGTGCCTGATGTGATCGAGTTTGGAGACTAGAAAAACAGGGAAAGTCCCTATCAAGCACAGGGGCATGTTGTCCTCTAAGAGAAGGCTGGGAAACCATGTTCTAGCAAGGTCCAATTACTGTCACCGTATGGTTCTGGATTTACCCCAGGGAAGCCGAGACCAGAATCCAGCTCTGATCGGGGCGGACAGGTGGACTTCAGATCTTTGCCCTAGGTTGTCTGAGCAATCAGAGTCCGTTTGCCAACACCCGTTACTCTGGGGAACCACGGCCAAGATTGCGGGGGGTTAGGGGTAGGGGAGCAGAAACGACCCATCGATTGGCATCTCGTGTGATGTATAAAAAAAGAACAAACAAAGAAAGCAAGATTCAAAACAGAACCCGAACTCAGTTTGGCACGGGGTGGAGGGGGGGCACCTCCCAGCCGACCCACCGCACTCCTCACATGACGCAGTAAGGCTCCCTGGGCAGTTCCGGCTCTGTCCTCCAGCAAGGGATGTGGGCCACCAAGCTCTTCTTGAGGTCCTTATTGAGTAGAAAGCAAACTATGGGGTTGACAGCGGCTTGGGCGAAGCTCATCCAAACGGCTGTGGAGAGGTAGCGGTGGGGGATGCTGCAGGCTTTGACGAACACCCTCCAGTAGCAGGCCACGATGTACGGTGACCACAGGACCAAGAAGAGCAACGTGATGACATAGAACATCCTGCCCAGCCGCTTCTCCGCCTTGAACTCTTCCATGCCCAGCAGGCGCCGATTGGCCGCGTGGGCGTTCTGCCGGATGCCCAGCAAGGTGGGAGGCATGGGGCCACGGCCGAAGCCCGCAATCCAGTTGGCCGCGGCTTGCCCCGTGGCGCCGGGCCCATGGAACGTCCAGTTTTGGCTGATGGCCGGAACCATCTGGATGGGCTTCATCTTGCGGTGGCGGTACTCGAAGAGGAGCAGTTTGATGTAGACCACGTGGGTGGCGAAGATCAGCACCGCCAGCATGAGCATGAAGCCCAGGGTGTCGTTGGCCTTGAAGTAGCGGTGCTCGAAGATGCACTGGTCCTCCTCCCGGATGAACTTGTAGGTCCCGACGTCGAAGACCGGCGGGAAGGCCATGGCCACCGACAGAGTCCACACCATGCAGATGACGGCGACGCACGTCCAGAAGGTCATGCGTTTGGCGTAGAAGCGGTGGTGGGCCACGGCCATGTAGCGGGTGACGCTGATGCAGAAGAGGAGGAAGGCCGCGTGGAAGCAGAAGAGGACCGCCATGAAGGCCACAATCTTGCAGCTCAGCACGCTGTAGGTCCAGGCCGAGCCGTGGCGGATGGAGACGAGGACGAAGGGGAAGCAGACGGCCGAGCGGATCACGTCGGCCAGGCACAGGTCCAGGAGGAAGTAGTAGGGGGCCTTGTGGAGGCCCCGTTCCTTCAAGACCAGCAGCGAGAGGGAGAGGTTCCCCGCCAGGCTCACGCAGATGATGAGGCCCAGGAGGAGCAGCTTGGCGTAGGTGGAGGCTGCGTGGGGCACCGAGCCGTGGGCCTCTTCAGTCTCATTGGCACTGGCCATCTTTAGGTGGGGAAGGAAAGGGGGGGGAGCTGGGTCAGCGGCGGCGTGCACGGTGACGGCCCAGGACCCAGGAGCTAAAGGCGGACATCATCTGTTGGGGGAAAAGGTTGGAGGGGAGAAAAAAATAAAAGATTAGTCTACGGTGTGTATCAGGGGTCCCCAGCCTTTCTGAGTCTGCGGGCACCTTTGGAATTCTTAGACGACATGGTGGGTAAAGCAGCAAAATGTCTGCTACAAAATGGCTGCTGCAGGAGGCGGAGCCAGCCACAAAATGGCTGCCCCATAGGGTTACCAAGTCGTACCTTAAGCCGCAGCGGGGGAGTCCCTCGGATGACCGTGGCCCCACCCCCGGCATGCCCGGCGTGGCTGCATCACTTCCGGGTGACGTGCTGACGCCGGGCACGTCCCGTGCTTTGGGGGTGGGGTTCCCCCCGGGGCCCGATCCGCCAGTGGTGGGGAACGGGCCTCTGGAGCGGGGTTTTCCCCACCCCCCGGGGGGACTTGGCAAGCCTACTGCCCCAGCTCAACTTCCGTCACACGGTGCGGATCCTTGTGCTGTGGTGGCAGCCGCTGCCAAAGCAACATTTTAAAGACTATCCACAGCCAATCAAATCTCCACTAGCCAATAATGGAACAGTCGGTTCCCCCTCTGATATTTGTGTGTGTTGGTTTTGTCTCACGGGGCGGAGTCCCTGCTCAGGTAGTTCTGTCGGTTAGGACTGCAGACTGCCCGAGCTCCCTCATACTGAAACCAGTCGCTCCCGTCCCTGTACCTCCTTGCCAATACATGAACTGAACGTTCAGTGTGTAGTCAAAGGCTTTCATGGCCGGAGCTCATTAGCTGTTGTAGATAAGAACATAAGGACATAAGAGACGCCAATGTTGGATCAGGCCAAAGGCCCATCCAGTCCAACACTCTGGGTCACACAGTGGCCAGGAATACCAGGTGCCCTCAGGAGGTCCACCAGTGGGGCCAGGACATTAGAAGCCCTCCCACTGTTGACCCCCCCCCCCAAGCACCAAGAAGTCACAGAGCATCACTTGTCCCAGAGCCCCTATCTGTACCTTGTGGCTAATAGCCACTGATGGACCTCTGCTCCATATGCTTATCTAATTCCCTCTTGAAGCCGTCCATGCTTGTAGCCGCCACCACCTCCTGTGGCAGTGAATTCCATGTGTTAATCACTCTTTGGGTGAAGAAGGACTTCCTTTTATCTGTTCTAACCCGACCGCTCTGCAGTTTCATGGAGTGCCCACGAGTTCTTGTATTGTGAGAAAGGGAGAAAAGTACCTCTTTCTCTACCTGCTCTTTCCCATGCATAATCTTATAAACCTCGATCATGTCACCCCTCAGTCGTCGTTTCTCCAAGCTAAAGAGCCCCAAGCGCTTTAACCTTTCCTCATAGGGAAAGTGTTCCAACCCTTTTATCATTCGAGTTGCCCTTTTCTGCACTTTTTCCAAAGCTATAATATCCTTTTTAAGGTGTGGTGACCAGAACTGCACACAGTATTCCAAATGAGGTTGCACCATCGATTTATATAGACCTGCTCCTTGGGAGGAAAGCGATGGCGAACCTAAACAGCATGATAAAAAGTAGAGACATCACCCTGCCAACAAAAGTCCGCATGGTCAAAGCAATGGTATTCCCAGTAGTCATGTATGCCTGCGAGAGTTGGACTATAAGGAAGGCCGAGCGCCAAATAATAGATTCTTTTGAACTATGGTGCTGGAGAAGACTCTTGAGAGTCCCTTGGACTGCAAGAAGATCAAATCAGTCAATCCTAAAAGAAATCAACTCTGACTGTTCCCTGGAAGGCCAGATAATGAAACTAAAGCTCAAATACTTTGGCCACCCAATGAGAAGGGAGCACTCACTGGAGAAGACCCTGATGCTGGGAAAGACTGAAGGTCAAAGAAGACGGGGACAGCAAAGGATGAGATGGTTAGATGCAATGAACATGAAATTGAGCCAACTTCAGAGGACGGCGGAAGACAGGAAGGCCTGGCGGGAGCTGGTCCATGGGGTCGCGAAGAGTCGGACTCGACTGTGCGACTGAACAACAAAAATTATGATATTGGCTGATCTGTTTTCAATACCCTTCCTAATAATCCCCAGCATAGCATTGGCCTTCTTTATTGCAGTCACACACTGTCTCGACATTTTCAGTGAGTTATCTACTACAACTCCAAGATCTCTCTCTTGATCAGTGTCTGCCAGTTCAGACCCCATCAACGTGTATTTACAGTTAGGATTTTTGGCTCCAATGTGCATCACCTTGCACTTGGCCACATTGAACCCCATTTGCCATGTTGACGCCCACTCGCCCATCCTTGACAGATCCTTTTGGAGTGCCTCACAATCCTCACTGGTTTGTGAGGCTGTATGGCTGTGGTCTAGGCCATGTTCCTACGATGCCAAGACCACAGCCATACAGCCCGGAAAATCTACGACAACAAATGAACGTTGTTTTGAACACCTGCCCTCCCATCTCTGCTGTGTGAACCCAAGGGCAGGAACCTGAGTGGCTACGCCAGGGGTCCCCAACCTTTGGAATTCGGCTGCAGTGCGGCTGCCCAGGAGGCGGAGTCAACTGTGAAATGGCTGCCGCAAAGGCAGAGCCGGCCACAAAATATCAGGGAGTGAGGTAATGCGTAACTCCAGTAACAGCTCTTTAATGTTTCCGGCAGAATTCCCCCTTAACGGGATACCTTTCAAAACGAGCATACCGTTTTAAGATGTTTTCTTGCACGTGCGCCGCTTCCCTTCAGTCACACAGTGAAGATACTTGTGCCGTGGCGGCAGCCGCTGCCGAAAGCAACTTTTTAAAAAGTCTACCCAGTCCAATCAGATCTCCAGTGGCCAATCAGACGCCGTCTTCGGCAGGAGCCCCAACAGACCCCGCCCACTTTCTAAAAACATTTGGGAGGGGCAAAGGCAGGGGTTGGCGGGTGCCCCGGCACCCACGGGCACCGTGTCGGGGACCCTGGACCAGGGTTCCCTCTAAGCTGAGTGAGTGTGAGTTAGCTCACATTTTTTTAGCCTCCGGCTCACGTATTTTTGTCTTCGCTCAAGAAGGGATGGCTCCAGAGCAAACTGATCTATGCGGCGGCCAAATCGCTCACTCACAACTTTAATGTCAGTAGCTCACAAAGTAGAATTTTTGCTCACAGGACTCCACAGCTTAGAGGGAACATTGCCCTGGACTATCTCATTCCTGACACAACATTATACAGGCTGCTGAGAAACAGAACATTTATCAAGCGCAAAGACCACCAACCACAGGCGTTTCAGATTCGGAAAAACGCTCCCAGATTCTAGAGTTCTTGTCAAGCATCAAAACTCTTTTTTTGTCATCCTAGTGGGGCGGAGGGGTACGGGCCTGAGGGTACGCCCCAGAACCCCAAGAAATGCTGTGGAGGATTCGGGGGCTCACTGTCAGTCCACATGGGGAACCAGCCCATGGCTCAAAAATAGGCTTGCCAAGTGAATTTTACTCACCGCCGGGGGAGCCTCGCCGCGCTCCGGGAGCCGTCCCTCGCCGTGCGCACGTGCGCCGCCAGCACGTCACCGGAAGTGATGCACGATGTCGATCACGTTGAGGGCGTGGCCCCGATTGTCAGAGGGAAAACCATAGAGTTTTCCCTCCGACGATCGGGGCCACGCCCCCAACGTGATCAATGTGGTTGCATCACCTCTGGTGACGCAGCCACGCTGCGCTTCGGGGGGCGGAGTTCCCCCTGGGGCCTGATTCCGCGGCGGCGGAAATCGGGCCTCCAAAGCGGGGGTTTACCCGCCACCCGCCCCCACTTGGCAGTCCTACTCAAAAAGGCTGGAAACCCCTGTACTATTTTATTGTTCACTCAATATCCTATATTGTACAATTACACCCCCTCCCATTCATTCATTCATTCATTCATTCATTCATTCATTCATTCATTCATTCAATTCATACACCGCCCTCCCTGCCGAAACACGCCCAGGGTGGCTTACATAAAAATACATATATAAACACAATTGAAATTATTCATTAAAAAATCATAACAATTAAATATTAGTTATCCTAAAGAGCTGGAACAATATTCAAGTAACGTGTGAGAGCAGAGGTTTCAAAATTAAACACTGTTACTGAGGTGGCGGTCATGGTGGTATTCTCACACTAGCTCAGTTGATCAAATTATGTGTGTGGTGAGCACAGGCTATAAGTTGTGGGCCAGGGCACAGGGTCGCTTCTCAGGTGTTTAGTGTGGCTCCTAGTCGAAGGCCTGGTGGAAGAGCTCTGTCTCGCAGGCCCTGCGGAACTGTAAGAGGTCCCACAGGACCCTGATCTCCTCCAGGGAGCTCATTCCACCAGTATGGAGCCGCCACTGAGAAGGCCCCGGCCCTGGTTATCGCTAGCCTGGCATCTTTAGGGCCGGGGAGGGCCAGCCGGTTTTGGGCCCCTGAATGCACTGCTCTCTGGGGAACGTATGGGGAAAGGCGGTCCCTTAGGTATGCCAGACCCTGACCATAAAGAGCTCTAAAGGTCAGAACCAGCACCTTGAAGCAAATCTGGTATGCTACTGGCAGCCAGTGCAGTGCTTTTAGCACCGGCTGGGTGTGCTCCCGCGTAGAGAGACCCATCAACAGCCTGGCCGAGGCATTCTGCACTAGCTGCAGCTTCCGGATTTGGGGCAAGGGCAGCCCCATGTAGAGAGCATTACAGTAGTCCAGTCTCGAGGTGACCATCGCGTGGATCACCGTTGCCAAGTCGTTGCGTTCGAGGAAGGGAGCCAACCGCCTAATCAGCCGAAGATGATAAAAGGCCGACTTGGCAGTGGCTGCCACCTGGGCCTCCATTGTTAAAGAGGCACCCAAGAGCAGTCCCAAGCTCCTAACCTCCAGCGCTGGCACCGGCTGCGCCCCATCGAAGGTCGGGAGTGGGATCCCTACCCCTGAACCACCCCAGCTCAGGCACAGGACCTCCGTCCTCATCGGATTCAGTTTCAGTCGACTCAGTCT